AAAACTAAAACTGGTCGCAATTTTCGAATAAGAATGAGTCGGCAATTTTTAGTGGAGTCGAAAATTTGGAGGTAAATAAAACACCGAAACCCGGCAAATAAATAGGCGGTCGAATTTTTAGAGGGGTCGAAATTTTGGAGTTTTCACGGTACTAATTATTCCATTTCAATGAAACTTAGTACAATGATGCTCTAGGACAATGTACAAACCTAATTAGTTTGGGGTAAAAATCTGTTCATATTAATTCCCTAATAAGCATAATAATTCATAATTTTTTGGTTCTAATCACATTTCAATTAAACTTGGAGACATAGATTTTCTGTTACATTGCGCAGACCTCATTAGTTTTACACTCAAATCTGGTCATATTAATTTTCTGATTTGCATAATTAGTTTTCAGCTAAGTAATTTCGAATTATATTTAATGTGTCTCCAATACTCTCAGCACATGGGAGTTCTTTCTAAGCTTTCTTTTTATAATAATTCATTTGGTTCATTGAGGTAATCCACAACATGATTAGTTTAATGCATATTGATTATCTATGATTAGCCCATTTCTGATATTAAACAAAAATCAGATTTAAATTGAATTCATCGCAGAGGTGCTCTGGAACTAATTAGAATAAAAACCATGGATGAAAAATCAAATGTATTTTCTGTATGTATTATAAATTGTGATAATGTGAATCACATTTTTTCATGTTATGCATCTCAAATATTAGTTGCCAAGCTTCTTGTTTGAAAAGCAAATCTTAAATTTTGAATTAATTTTAATGTGTCTCCAATACTCTCAGCACTCAAGAGTTCTTTCTAAGCTTCCTTTGATATTTATTTTATTTGTACTTGTTTAATACGACATGGTTCCATACAATCATGAATGTATCTTGTCTATTATTGTGGTCACATAACATACTGTGGAATGCTTTATTTGCACTGGCATTTTATTTTCCCTGTTTTACCTGTAGTCAATTTCCTGCAAAATAAATTCCAGTGAAAATGCTGCTTTCTCTATACGTTGCATTAATACAACATAGTGAAAAATTAGATCCACACAATGCCAAAAAGCTGTTTTCAGCAAAAATAAATTCCAGAGAAAATAAAGTATTTTACAGTAGTCAGCAATATTGCAAGCAACTTTTCTAACAATGTTTCTGTTTTAGTCTGTAAATGTATTTAAACTAAAACAGCTAAATTGTCAGATGTTGCATGCAATACCGCATTTGCTCTATTAGTAGCGCATGCTCTTATGTAAATAACAGAGGTGTTTCTATGGTCAAAATACATCATATTTTAATAAATCAGTATACAATTAATGCAATTGTTGCCGTACATGTGCTTCTATTGGAGATGCTCATCTAATAGAGCATGTATGGTATACAATCTAAATGCAACCAGAGTGAAATTGTTTTTGAAATTAATATTGAAATGCAGATAATAATTTTCCCTCTGCTACTAATTAATTAATCCACAAACCAGAATCATTGACATCCATTTATATATGACCTAGTTTCTTTTTGTACTATGTGCCCCCTTATCTTGGCAGGAAGAATTGCCATATTTTTATGACGCAGTAATTCAAGTGAATTTACCGTGTTCAGAGATGACACGACAACAGCTGATGGAAACATTTTTTTTTCCCGAAGTCGTATAGTGACAAATATTTTTTTTTACACTGGTGAAGCAGCAATTTTTTTTTTTGAAGAACCCTTCACTTTGCAAATTTTTTTTTTTCATTTCTGACCTCCCCCCCTCAAAAATCAAATGGTCCAACCCTTACTTGTAATTACTCAACCCTCGGCAACTGTGAGCTTGGACGAATCGACTTTTTGAATGAATGTGATGGGACAAATGTAAATTGGGACGAATTGACTGTGAATCACTGTGACAGTACAGATTTCCCTCTTGGTGTGGCTAGAAATACACCATTACTGTGGACGCTTGAATGAAAGGAACACCTAATTACCAACATCGTCAGCAAACTTGCTAAAGATTCGATTGTGTTGATGTCTGCAGATTGTTGGGCCACCTCATTCTCTAAAGGAGACAATGGTATTTACTGAGGGGGCGCACTCTCAAGTCGTTACTTTATGCAAATTTTTTTGTATTTTTTCTCGTTTTGAGCTATTTTTAAATGCAATAAATTATAAAGTACGATTACAACAACGATAAAAATTATTATGAAAAATTCATATACCGATCATCTAAAAGTATCTTGGCCTCCTATTGAAAATGGGATGGCCTAATATGATAAGATCTCCAGATGCCAGTTTCAATCAGCACAGGCCAATTTGTTAGCAAGTTTGCTGATGATGTTGGTGATTTAATTTTTATTTTTCTATTTTAAGTGTACATTTTGATTCATTTTAACTTCATTATAACTATTTTGTAGTTACATATATTAGTCATCCACACTATAGACTTTTGTAGATTTTTTTTTGTGATGTAATTTTTTCTTTCTTATAATTTCTATTTTTTTTTGTGAACTTGATAAAATTTTCATATTGTTGTGCGTATTTTGATTTAGTTGCCCTCTTATTGTATTTTTTTTCGGTTTTGTAGTATTAGTGACCTTACTGATGTACTTTTCTAAGTCAGTGTTGTGTCAATAAATAAACATAAATAAAAACTAATGCAATGTGTGAAGAGCCTACAGTTATACATGTATCGGTTAAAATGTTTCAATTGTTTTTATTGTACCATCTTATGTTTCCTTGCAGTGACCTATGTGATTTACACATAACCCACGTAGCTTGTTAAGAAGAACCTGTATGAGTATTTCACACTTGTTAGAGAGATGCAAGTTACAATGTAGAAGAGAATGCAGAGTTTACTGGACTCTTATTTCAACAAAGCCAGTGCAAGCAGATCAGCTGATAAAATGTCTGCACCATCAAAACTGGGAGTTGACGAGCCAAACCCTAAGAAACGCAAATTGGAGATGAGTGCAACAGAATGCATGAGAAGATCAGAGTCTGTTGAGGGTACTTACTCGTTGACCAATCCGTTGACCTTGTCAAAATCAGCTGTGGATACAAATAAAGGTTTGTACCCACGAAGCGATCGGAAATCTAGCAAACGTGATGCCAAGAGGTCACAGTTCTGCAGTTCCACTCAGTTTTCTAAAGCAAAGAAACAAACTTCTTTGTTGTCTGCGACGTCCTGGTCAAGTTTATCGCAACCAACAAAATCTAGCAATGCCACAATATCAAATCCACTGCCAAGTACACCTACCAAACAATATCCTCACACGGTCACTCGACCAACTTTGAAAACATGTAGTTCTGTCCAAACCTTCAATGTCAAGGACGCTATGGCGTTAAATGCTTCGTCAAAACAACCGATAATAAGTAAGAAAGTGAATGCATCAAGTTCATCATCTACATTGCATTTCACTTCTAGTCAATTTCAACAAACCAGTAATGCTTCACGGAAAACTGGGCATATGCCAGTGACAATGCACAGACAGTATCAATCACCACAGAAGACACCATCAACTACACAGCCACTCATACATACAAAAGTCTCACCAAAAGCATGGTCACCGACTTCAGAAGTTTACATTACACCGCCAAAACCAGCAAGGCCTACCAATGCCTGCTTGTCATCTCCTAAATCCTGGTCATATGGAGACATCGATAGCAAAGTATCACCAGGTACAGCAATCAAACAGAAAAGTGTGGTGAAGTCTATGACAAGCTTATTCAATGAGATGCCTGTACTCAGTACTGACACAAGAAAAACTGCAGTCACCAACGAAAGTAATGGCAATGAGGTGGACATTAACCTCATTGCTTTTGAAAATGACACCGAACTAGATGATATTTTTGCTTCTCAGCCGGACACTTTTGGATTATTAGGGGAAGGAAGCAAAGCAGAAGAAGATGAAGAAGAAGATTTCAATTATTTTTATAATGCAAAGTATGAGATACCGGATGAGGTTGTTGAGAACATCTTTAGTCAGCTGCCAATGATTGATCTGTGTCTTAATGTCAACCTTGTATGTCAGAAGTGGAATGACATCATTGTAAACTCAAAGGTCAGTTCTAGCTTTGTATGACTCCATATTGAGCAGGGCTTGGATGGGGACAAATTCAATTTTCATGAATAATCAAAATCAATGCTCTTAAGACTTAATTCTATAATAATTTTAATCCAAATAAAAACCTGCACCGTCATTGACTTTTGAAAATAAGTTGACCAGAAACCTTTTTTCGTTCTATGGCCTTCAGTGTTGATGGCAGTCTTCAAACCTTCCTTTTCTGCAAAATTATTTTAAACGTCAAGGGATTATGGTTATATGGGCATGAGGATCCATTTACCAGGGGGAACTTGTTCTTAATATGATCAGTATTGAGTTTTATAGGAAGGCTAGAACTTCAGGAGGCCATTGCCTCATTGCCCAATGAGTTTGTTTTTGTGTCTTTTGATATTCCCTATGTTTTACCTATAGGACAAGGCCATTTTATAAATTCAGATCGTGAAAATGAATGCCCTCACAACTTGAACTTCAGCCCTGGATACACATGTATCCGTCTCAAAACTACTAACAATGGTCCTTATGACATGTAACAGCAGGATTGATTATCTCTGTCAAGTTGTGTTTTTTTTATTGTCAGTTCATTCCTTGGAAGAAAAAATATCACAAATTGAAATTGAAGGATCCTGAGACATATGATGAAATAATGGAAATGATGAGAAGTAATCACATGATGTCTTACAATGACTGTATTCTTCAGATAGTCAGGTAAATATTATTTATAGTGTATTCCCTGGTTGCATTGCTAGCTACATGTAATTATCATTGATACTTGACAGTAAATTATGCCCTCTGCTCTAGTGATAAAGTACTACTGTGACATAGACATTACATGACTTTTGTTTTCAGGGACAGCTTTTTTTTCCTATAGTTATTTCGTTCACTATTTAAATATGGTAAACTTCTCAAAAAATGTATTTTGAATGATAATGCTTTGAACTGCTTCGTTTTTACTAATCTGTTTTGTAAGTATTGCATCACTAGAGGGCCTACATGTGTGTGTATATATATTTGAAAACTGTATTGTACCATGATACAGTGAGATCAATGATTGTACCATCTCATTCATTACAGTATTACAGTGTACAATATTTAAATCATTATTTCGAATAAATAATTTGTTTTCAATATTTTACCCTTGAGGGGTGGCATCAGATTCTCAATATACAAAACAACCACTGTATTTTAGCTTCGCTGTCGACTTTGTTGAGCGGAGCTTATCATACGAGTGATTGTCCATCGTCATCCGTGTGAACTTTTGAGAACTATAGTTCTTATTGCTTTGATACTTGGTGTATATGTACCTTGGGCATCTCTTATCTCTTAGAGTTGTTCATTTCGTGATGATATCTTCAATTCTTTAATTTTAATGAATATTTTTGGTAAAAAGTGATATTTTTGACTAATTGTTGAAAACAGCGAGTCTGATTGCTTTGATACTATGCCAATAATGGTATAGGTACTTCAGGTAGACCTCTCTCAGATTTGTTCATTTTCTAATGATATCTTCATTTCTTCAATTGAAATGTGCATTGCTAACAGCGTAGCTATCTCAGTTGAGAGGCTGCTTGTTTTTACAATTTGAATTCTGATTGCTAAATATCTGTCTGTGCTGATTAATTCATACCTATCTAGCTAGCTCTATGTTTATCAATAATGTACCTGGACTAGCTAATTTCTAACTTCATTATTTGTGCATGTTTTTGATATCAGATATTTGGCTGGATTTACCAGACGATCCAATGCATTTATGGTGGATCATCTAAGAAAACATCCTCAATTTGACTTTGCTATGGAAGTTTTGCATGAAAAGTTGCCAGATACAATAACACATGGAGTAAGTATGCATTGGAAATTATTCAAATGACCCCTTTGCGGTAATTTTTCTGTTTTGTATGTTTCATCTTACTAATTTTAAAATATTATACTATTTACTGTAAAATTACTAATTTTCACTGGGTTTAATTTCCGCTGATTTACCCAGGGTTCTCCACGAGGGGTTTTTACAGGGCGCCGCGCCCTGTTATTTGAAATTGGCGCCCTGTTTAAATTGTCAGTGCCCTGTTATATTTCCTGTGCGCCCTGCATGATCCCAGACAAAGAATTGTTTACAAAACAGGCCAACACTCATTGTCTTCCGAAGATGATTCATCGTGCTCAGGGTAACTGGTTCATTGTTTTAAGGTGCAACTGTGAAAATTCCGGTTTGTTATCGTAGCAGGTCACCGTGATGTGATAACACCACCAAACAAAAATTACAGTTTTTTCACATGATTAAAAATGAACATGTGGCCTAAAAAGTGCATTACCGTACCCATATTTTACT